TAAATTACAGGATAAACTGCTGCATGGAACATGCAAATATACTAAAAAAGTATTCATTGTTTATCTGAAATTCAAAGTTAAGTGAGTGTCCAGTATTTTTATTTGCTAAATCTGACAACTCTATCTTTCAGTATATGTTAAATTTGTTTCAGAAAATACCAAATTTATTGACAGGAAGAGATTTAATCTTGTGGAAGTTGGGTAATTCTTTACCTTTTAGGAACTTCTTGAGGACCAAACCGCCAAAAATGCTTCCTGCAGAAGCAACTGTAAGAAACAGAATACAAAGAAGTATCATAAATAAAGCAATTCAATGGATTTCATCTAAAGAATCATATGGGAGCCTGAAATCACTGTTTATAGACACAGAACATTACAAGATGGTCACTACTAATGAATTCAGTAAAAATGGAGGCACCAAAGAAGTATTATGAGGCTACAACTGTTCAGGGGCAGAATAACTTCTTAGAGATGAGAACCAAATAGCAACTCTTTTTACCTATATTAAACACCAGGGCTGCCTCTTTGTATATTACTATTCCTGATAGAAAAGGATCATAGGAAGACCACAGAGTCTTGCTAGTAACCAGAGTATATCATGCCAATAACTCATATTCCAGTATGAGATTCAATTAAAATTTTTGGCCTTTCTTTTAACCAATTTACTCTTTAGTAAATTTACTCTTTACTAGACTATCAGGTAAGAATTATCTGTACCTAGAGTTCTAAATCTGAACATTCCGGCACTTAGAGCAATAATTCTTCAGGTAAAGAGGGTAAGGGAGGAAGCAGGCACCTAAGAGGGGGGAAAAGATCAGAATCATCTGGAGGCTTTTTTCCCAAATAGAACATGCCTTCCCCCAGAGTGATGCGACCCCACAGTTAAGAATCTAAGAATCATTGCCACAAGAACCAATGGAAATGTGTCTATCCCTCAAGAAATATGTATTCTTCAGGCAGGGAAAAAAGGTTGAGAACCACTGATCTAGGGTGAGAGGCAAGACCATTCTCTAAATGTGTGCTGTCCAATACAGTAGCTACTAGCTACATGAGGCTATTTAAATCTAACTAAATTAAATCAAATGAGAAACTCCGTTCCTCAGTCACACTAGCCACATTTCAAGTGTTCAATAGCCAAGTGTGGCTAATGGCTATGGTACTGAACAGCATAAATAACATTTCCATCATCACAAAAAGTTCTATCAGATAGCATTGCTCTAGATCTCCAGATTTTGAATGATTCTGGATAAATGATACATATTTCAAAAGGCTTGAGCCCAGGTAGCATAGAATATTTAACAAAAACAATCTTTTTTTTTTTTTAAACTTAGTGTTCCTCACAGGTATACACTGATTCTGACCTAAAGGAGTGGGTGATTGTGATTGGGACAGGGATGGAAGGCGGTAGCAGGCCGACACCAGTGATTAGCAAGGAGCTAGAATATCAACAAGAAACAAACCACAAACTATGTCTCACAGTGTGTCCATGATGTTTCTCAACTGCATATATCACACTGTTCCCTCTAACGACCTTTCTTAGTTTTAACAAGTATCATATCAACAATTGTTGAAAATGGGTCACTTTGGGTGAACATATGCAGGGAGAGCAATCATTCTGCCTGCTCCACACCCAACCCCAAATTTTCAGCTATGCTTCTAATCTTTACGTATTAAATAAAGTGCTACCCTTCAAATGCAAAGATGACAGAACACATATTTTTAAAGCCACAGCATTCCCCCAAATTCTCTTTACAGAACAGATGATTTTTTAAAACGCTACGAGGTCAAATATGTTTGGGAAATGCTATATACTACAGCCTATTTTTAAAGATTCACAGTCCGTGCTTGCATATTAAAGGTTCTGAGAAGATCTAAAGTAACAAAACTCATTTTTTTTTAACCAGCATTTCTCAAGTTTAGATGACTGCATAACTCCTTTCTCATAATTTATATAAACATCCTGTAGCACACACTTTGGGAAACACTGCAGTAATAATACTTGTTAAAGCCTTCAACAATTACTGATAGGAAAAACTGTTGGGTTGGCAAAAAATTTCCTTCAATTTTTAAGTAAAAATAAAAGACATTTTTCATTTTTACCAAGAACTTTATTGAACAACGTATTCACAGTTTTGTTCCACTACCTTCTGCCACTTTTCAGGCAACTTCATAATTCCATCTTCCCAAAACTTTTTATCTTTTTGAGCAAAGAACTGGGCCAGGTGCCTTTCACAGTCTTCAAGGGAATTGAAATTTCCATTAAAAGAATTCCGTAAAGACCAAAATAAATGGAAATCTGAACGTGCAATGTCTGGAGAATACAACGGGTGAATCAGAACTTCCCAGCCAAGCTGTACAGTTTTCACCTGGTCATCAAATAAACATGCGGTCTTGCGTTATCCTGACGGAAGATTATGCCTTTTCTGTTGACTAATTCCGGACACTTTTCAGCGTGCTGCTTTCAGTTGGTCTAACTGGGAGCAGTACTTGTTGGAATTAATCGTTTGGTTTTCTGGAAGGAGCTCGTACTAGAGGACTCCCTTCCAATCCCACCGTATACACAACACCACCTTTGTATGAAGACCAGTTTTTGGTGTGGTTGATGGTAGTTCATTTCGCTTGCCCCACGATCTCTTCCATTCCACATTATTGTACAGTACCCACTTTTCATCTCCTGTCACAATTTGTTTTAAAAATGGAATGTAACATTCGTTACGTTTAAGTAGAGAATCACATGCGGAAATACGGTCAAGAAGGTTTTTTTCACTTAACTTATGTGGAACCCAAACATCAATGCAATTAACATAACCAAGCTGGTGCAAATTTTTGTTTTAATTTTATTTATTTTTGGCTGCGTTGGGTCTTCGTTGCTGCGTGCGGGCTTGTTGCAGTGGCTTCTCTTGTTGCAGAGCAAAGGCTCTTTGCACGCGGGCTTCAGTAGTTGCGGCACATGGGCCCTAGAGTGCGTGGGCTCAGTAGTTGTGGCTCGTGGGCTCTAGAATGCAGATTCAGTAGTTGTGTGTGGCACACAAGCTTAGTTGTTCAGTGGCATGTGGGATCTTCCTGGACCAGGGATCAAATCCATGTCCCCTGCATTGGCAGGTGGATTCTTAACCACTGCACCACCAGGGAAGTCCTCCAAATGACTTTCAACACTTGATTTGGATATTTTGAGTATGTCGGCTATCTCCCATGTTGTATAATGTTGATTGTTCTCAATTAATGTCTCGATTTGATCCCTATCAACTTCAACAGGTCTACCCAACTGTGGAGCATCGTCCACTGAGAAATCTCCAGCACGAAACTTTGCAAAACACTTTTGACACATTCAATCAGTCACAGCACCTTCTCCATACACTGCACAATTTTTTGGCGTTTCAGTTGTGTTTTTACCTTTCTTGAAATAATAAAGCATAATATGCTGAAAAGGTTGCTTTTTTCCTCCATCTTCGATATTAAAATGGCTACACAAAAATTCACCAATTTTGATGTTTTTTCTAAATGCACGCTGATATGACAGCTGTCACAATACAATCTAACAAAATTGTTTTGAATGAAGTTAAAGACAACTAAACACTACTAGAGCCATCTTACAGAAAAAACCTTTTGGCCAACCTAATATATAGTCATCCCTCAGCTTCTCACAGATGGACCATTCCAGCAACAAAATTTTCTGGTTTGTTATGAGTTGCATTTTGTGCCTCTAAAAGAGATTTTGAAGAACTAAGGGCCAGTACTTGTGAATATGACCTTACGTGGAAATAGGGTCTTCATAAATGTCATCAAGATGAAGTCATACTGGGTTAGAGTGGCCCTAAATCCAATTGATGCCCTTATAAGAAGGCCATGTGAAGACACAAACACAAGGGAGGACATTACATGTAGACAGAGACAGAGATTGGAGCAATACATCTACAAGTCAAGAAACACCAAGGGCTTGCTGGCAACTACCAGAAGCTAGGAGAGAGATAAGGAATAGATTTCTCCCTCAGAGCCTCCAGAAGGAACTAACCCTGCTGACATCTTGATTGTGGGTTTCTGCCCTTCATAACTGTGATAGAAATTTACTTTGTTTTAAGCCACCCAGTTTGTGATCCTTTGTTACAGCAGCCCCAGGTTTAGTTCCCAGCCCTAGCTCAATGACACCAATCCACACTTTCAGGTAAAGATGACAGATTGAACATACACATCTACTCTTACTCCCTCCTGAAATCTCAATAAAATGGAAAAGGAGTATTTTTTAAAGGAATAAACCCACAAAGATAGAGAATTAGAAAGAAAGATGATTATAATAAAATTATAGAAACAGAAAAGCAGAAGGACTAGTGGGAAAGGATTTCGGACTCAAGACCTGAAAAATTGAATTATAAGCCAAAAAAGGGAAAGGTGAAGAAACACCACCAATTATACAACAAAATCCCCAAAGACTCAAAAATGGCAGTATTAGGAACCTCTGGAATAGGAGTGGGAGCCAAAATAAGGAGAGTCAGCTGAAAAAATGAATTTAAGAAGTAGTCAGATCTTTAGATTCCCTTCTCCACTCAGCCTTCTAAGGACTGGCCCTCCCTAACCCTGGTGAGGGGTTGGGGAGAGGTTATTCTTTGAAAAGATAGAAGCATGGGTCTCTGGGCTGGGAACTAAAGTTGTACTAAAAACAAATGGATTGAGTGAACATAAACATTGAAAACTAAGATACAACCACCCCCCCACTCCCCCCACCCCAATCCCTCAATCCCAGAATGCTGGCAATCTGGCTTTTTATCTACCTGGTGAAAGACTCTGAACATATGCATAGAAAAATCTAGAAGAATATATACTGAATGTTAATAATTATCTCAAGGGGTGAGATTACTGAAGAGTCTCATTTTCCATAATATGTTTCTGTAATGTTATAATGTTTCATGACAAGCACGTATCGCCTTTCCTCCTGTCAAAAAAATAATAAAAATAATAAAGAGACAATAAGCAGAAGAGAAAGGCCCCTTATACTAGACAGGCTGAAGAGGTCCATTAGGCTCAAAATGTCTATGGAATTCAGTTTCTTGCCAAAAGCTACTGTGGCTCAAGTCCCTTTCTTTGAGTGAAATCAACCCTGCCACCTTGCGCACAGTTTACTGGATCAGAATCAATTCACAAGCTAAGAGAACCATATGCAGACCAATATCACCCTAGCCAGGTAACTAAACACCTCTCTCACGAATGGTGGGAACTCTGTCCAATCAGAGTGAAGTTCATGTGGAGTAACAGCAAACCAAACTATCATACCCCTCTTGAGGATGTTTACTGCTAGGTAAATAAAGAGAAGACAGGTCATTCCAGTTCAGGTGAGAAAATGTCTTGTAGAGCCTAAAGTACTATCCAGTCTCAACTGGGACTCAGGGTGACTCCTCTAAGGCTGATGGGACAACTTCATTCCAAAGTATTCTTCAATAAACCTACACACACACACACACAGCCCAAAAACAGTCAGACAAAAAAGTTATCACTTCACAAGTTCAAGAAAATTAATTGTGTCAGGGCCACTCAATGCATCAGCTTTCCAAGAGTACAGGCAAAAATGATGAAAGAGCTAGAGCCAAATGGAAGAGATATATATTTTCAAATTAACTGCAAATTAGGATTATCAAAGTATGCACCATTCATCATTTAATTTTTTTTTTGGCTCTTTTCCAACTACCAAAGGCTGGACATGAACAAAAGAGGATACAAAATTCAATGTAATATAATTTAGCTATGAAAAAGGAGGTTAAAACCAAGAGCAAGAGTTAGATTGTTTCTGAGCAATCTAAACTTAAACCAGTAAAATAAATAATCCTTTGATAAGTCATCCTACTCACCTTTCCTGTATGACAGATTTGTAAATCTATCACCAGATAGATACTTATTTCATAATCACTTAAGTTTAATTATGGAACAACTCTGGAGTAATAACATAATAAAAGATTATGACTAATTGAAATTTTTAAATAAACTATAACATAAATCATGACAAAACAAAGATAGAAATCAATATTTTTTCTTCCTCCACTTACTAGTTGTTACACAATGAAGAGTATTTGCCTGGTGCTTAGAATTTAATGCTTCTATGGAAATCACTAGCTCTCCTTCTAGCAATGCTCCCTTTGATATTCTTGCTGTTTCACACCTCCAGTGAATAATTAAATATTTCAGTATCTGAAAAGGGCACAATTCAAAGAAAACACAACCTTCTTTAAAAAATCATGGTAATAATAAACTTGTATGACACAGTTAAATTAACAATTCTCATTTCCAAAAACTAATATTCTTGCTTGCAAAATGTCAGATTTACAATTGTTAAGAACAAAGCATTGTGTCTAAACAGAAGAAACGGCTAGGTGAGTGACATAAAAAAGGAGACAGCGAAATTCAACACAATGTCCAAGACAGGAAATGGAGACAAAAAATTGTTTTATTCAAAGGATAAGTTCATCTGGAAATAATAATTTGAAAAAATTAAGTGGGAGTTTGTTTTTCCTGTTTTATTTTTTTCTTCTCCCTAAATAAAAGCCAACATGACGATTATGAATAAGAATGGCATCTGCTTTTGAATCACCTTTACCTTTCATTAAATCAACACTTCTGAGGGTCAGAATACTAGTTAAGAGCACTGGCTCCAGAAGCAGATGCCTGGGTTTGAATCCCTGATGAGCCAAACACTAGCATGTGACCTTGCACAAATTACTTAACTTCTCTGTACCTCAGCTTCCTCATTTATAAAAATGAGGACAAACCTACCACATACAGCAGCTGCTGAACGTAAACAAAACAATATGTGCAAAATGTTTAACACAGTGCCTGGTATATAGTAAATGCTTAATAAATATTAGCTATTATTTCTAACAAATTCATCTGCACACAATATTTTAAGTTTAACAGGTCTCCACGATACCTTGGTAAAACATTCTATCTTGATGAGACCACTTTAAAATAAAATATATTGTATTTAATTTCCATTACTATTTATGAAAGTAGACTCTCACTTCCACACTGACGTACCATAGCGAAAATTATTACACACACACCCCTTTCTTTTTAAAGGCAGGGAGATCCCAGCATGAGAACTTGGGAACTAAGATCCTAATTTGTACCAGTTTGTAAGAAAGGTTTCCAGGCATTTCTACAGTCTAACACTTTCCTTCACACATCCTCTGACTTACTGTTCTCCCTCTGTTCAGATTTTCCCGCAGTTTCTTTATCCATAATGAGAGAGCAGTTGGGAAGAGAACATCAGCCTGTGAGTCAGAAGCTCTGGGTTCTATGCTAGGTTCTGTCATCTGTAAAATCTAAACCTCCAACTCTCTCTGATAACAAAGAAGGCAGGAAGCCTGGGAGAACTCGAGGTGCCTTCAGGTCAACCCCTTGTGGCCTCTGGTCCTATTTCACCTGTCTAGTAGTTACGTACTAGTAGTTAATCTGTCTAATACGAGGCCAGTAGTTAAGAATTCAATCATGTAAGGCTGTAAAAACGCTGTCATGAATGAACAAAGGTGGCAAGTCGGGGCCAGGTGTTCAGTCCCACCCCCCAGAGCATCTCTGGCGCGTGGTGTAGTCCGAGCTGGGTGAGTGAGGCCTCCGAACCTCAGCCTCTCATGAGGCAGCTGCTCTGGGACCTGACCCAGGAATCCCCTTCACACCTCGGTTGACCCGCGGGCCGGATACGGCTTTCCCTCGCTTCCACTTTGCACCGGATGGCCCCGACTTCCCCCCAGGTTGCCCACCCCTGCTTTTTGCTCGCCCTCCCCGGCACGGGCGGGTCCTCCTGGGCTGGCATCCGGGCTTGAACCTGGGCTTCCGCTGAGGTGGCAAACACTTGAGCTGCCTGAGCCTCGGTTTTCTCAGCTGTCAGGTGGGAGCGACACCAGCGCTGAGGACAGCCATGCCACCCACTGACTAAATTCTCCTCACTGAGCACCCCGCGGGCTTTACTGCCCAGATGCTCCCACGTCCCACTTCTCCTCTGCTCCTCACAACCCCGCGAGGGACACGCTGACTTTCACCGAATCCTATCATTCCCGAACCTTCCTTCTCCCCCTCAGGCAAAGCCAGACCCCTCTGCCCAAACTTCGCGGCCTCCTCACAAGGCCCGTCTCCTCAGAGTGTCCTCCTCCGCTTTCACTCCCTTCCCGGCATCACCTCGCAGACAGCCACGGCCGTCCCCTCCATTCCGCGCGGTGAGCAGTAGCGACGCCCAATCGCTGGGCGCCCGCCAGGGATTCGACCTCCGCCCGCGCCCACGCCCACGCCCACGCCTGGCCGCGCCAGCGCCGCTCCGCCCCGCCCCTCTCCCCTGCGGCGATCCGCCAGGACCTGCTAGAAGTGGTGCGGAGGAGGGTTCCCGCGGTAGCGGAGGTCCGTGGGCTGGCTGCTGGGCAGGCCGCGGAGTTGGGGAGAGCCCGCGGGTGGCAACCGAGGCTGCAGGCTAGCAAGAATGAGGACAGGCCACCACTCCTCCCTTCCTCCCGAAAGAACTTTCCCACGGTCCCAGCGCGAGGTGCAGCCCTCAGCTCTTTGCCTCTGCCGGGAGAAGGGCTGCTGCCGGTGCCGGAAGCGAGATCCCCAAACCGGTGCTTGACCTCCAGACAGTCTCACCTCCAGGGGGGACTGCCCCAAGTGCCCCAGGCCAACCTCTGGTTTCCCACCCTTGGCAAGTTAAAAAAGAGTTAAATTTGAATTTCAGATTTAAAAAAATAATAATTTAAAAAAAAAACAATTTTTTAGTCATATGTGTATCCCATGCAATATTTGCGACATATGTATACTAAAAAAAAATTCATTCTTCTGAAATTCAAGACTGGGCGTCTTGCATTTTATCTGGCAACCTGTCCCAAGCAGATCCCCAGCTTAATCCCAGGGTGCCCAGCCAGCCCCTAGGCAGGATCTGGAAGGGCACAAGCCCCCCACGTTTGTGCACTGAATATGCCAACGACAGGACCTGGATTTCTTAGGCTCCAGCTGACAGAAGCTCCGGGGATTTCCAAGAGCATTCCCAACTGATCGGGAAGGTAGTCCTCCAGAATGCAGCTGCTGAACTCAGGGCTTTTCATGTAGGAGCATGGTAACAGGGGCTTGAGCCCAAACTGGTGATTTGGCAGTTGGTTCCTCAGGCATCCAAAAGAAAACTGGTGAGAGAGAGTCCTGCCTGGCAAAGCATTGCCCAAGGAAAAGGGTGGTGCAGGGTTTTGGCTGCTTTCCTTCAAGGAGAATTCTTCCACCCCAACTCCAGAAAGCCAGGACTGGGCAGAACAGGCAGGGGAGCTGGCAGAGTGCCTGTCCAGTACATAACCTTGGTGCTACTCCAGAGGACATGACTATTGAGACCTGAATCACAGAGCCTTGTCCATCTTTGCTCAGCACTGTTGACCACCCTCCCCATCTCTGTTGCTCAATAGGTAGATCTATTGCAGAAAGGTGGCTTTTATTTATGGAAAATGCATCATAATACCATCTCGGACTTGATATGAGAGCTGACTTTTGGGGAATCGTTGGAGCCTTCCTCTCCCTTTCACTCTCTTCTCTCTCGGGTGTCCCCTTTAGGCAGGGGAGTTGCCAAGGGGAAGGGAGCTAAGATTGAATGACTACCTGTTGTAGGATACCACTGGCTCTTTACATCAATTTTTTTTACCCTCACAAGTATCTTGTGAGATAATTGTTATCTTCACTATTTGGTGGGTGAGAAACCAAGATGCTGAAGATGGCTCTTTAAAATATTTCCCATGGAGAGTGTTGGCTCAGCAGAAAATGCCCCACCTTGAGAATGACACTGGGAAAGAAGGGTGGAGGAACAGCTGCCAATGTAGACGTACTTCAAGTGAGTTGGTCATCCTGCTTCCAGCCCTTGGCCTTGGAGTGAGCATCAGGGATGAACAATGCAGTGGAATACCCAATACCATCCTAGAGGCAGGGGAGGCCTAACAGGTAGCCAGGGACACAGCCAGATGTAGGCAGAAGTGAGGAAGTGAGGAAGGGAGCCTGTGATCCTGAAGCCTGCCATCAGGATTGCCACCACATAAACCATTGTAGTCAGCAAAGTTTGATGCATGCTTGCCATGTGGTGGGCACCTACTCTGTGCTAAGTGGCCTTCACCTTTCCTTTATCTTCAGTAATCCTCCCAATCTTGTTAAGGAAAGTGTTATTATCATTGTTTTATTAATGATGAGAATGAGCTTCCAAGAAGAGGTTGTATGACACTGAGTTCGTAAATGGCAGAGCCAGAATCTGAAATAAAAATCTCTTAACCACTCTTTCCTTCTCC